TAGAGTTTCTTTTTGTACTGATGACAGATAAAAAATTTACTGTGTTGATGAGTCTTACTGAGAAAATTATGGATTTCTTAATCGATGTAGACAGCATTGCAAATGCAAGCTATTATTTTGGCGAAAACAGCCATTAGCTTTATTGTACTTATAATCTGCTTGGCTATTAAACTTTTAAACAGTTCGTGGATAAATTATTCCTTTGATTACTTTAAGTATATGGTACATCAAGTCTTTCATCTGCCAAAATATAAATATTAGGAGTAATAAAACTATAGCTGCAAGCAAAAGACGAAACAATTCGTGCAAATGTGCAGTTCGATGACTGTGAACAAGTCCTTCAGATCAACTAAATTTGTGTATCAAGTAATGCTTTTTTTTGATGACTAGTGAATGAAATACCAAGACACTCAATAACAAATCTAAATAGACCGCAAATTCAAAATTAAAGCATACGAAAGAATAAAGTTGATGAAAGAGAAGAAAGTTTGCATGCTTCAGACATTAATGCTCATTCGATTCAAAGATCACGATTAAAATTCTCTGACGGTCTCATTTTGTCAGATTCTGTACATTATAAGTGTTCGAAAATTTCCACCACTCATTTGAAAAAATTGCTTGATTTTCCTTTAAAATTATACCGTTACCATCTGTGGGATTGTTCTTACTGCAAGCAGAAATAACGTTATGAAGTTCGCGTCTTAGTAATAAGAGCAAACACAGTCCGGAGAGAATCAGATCAGTGGTTTGTGACTTTAACGCGGGGATAAGTTAACATGACATTACAAATACCTTTTTTATGGGCTAAAGAGTTTCAAAATTTGGTAGTAGTAATTGATTTGTTGAATTTTACTCAGACTGACAAGAAAAATTAAAAAAAAATTATCCTAATTTCAAAATTCTATGACTACATTGCGTTGAAAACTTCATGTGCGCTGACAGGAAGTATTCTTCTGGAATCATGTGTTATGATGAAAATGTCGAATTATTTGCTGACAAAGATACACTCACGAACTTTAAAAAATCAGTTTTCCCCACTCTATACAAAAATCACGGTAGATCAAATCCTAAACTAGAAAAGATTATTTCTGAGATTTGTAATCGCGCGAATTCATGCTGTAGTACGAGAAACTCCTGCATCTGATCTTTGTTTGATTCACATTGATTGCAGAAAAAATAGAAGAGTAAGTATCAGTCATTCTTGCTTTACGCAAATGAATTTTTAATGATATTTCGGGGAAGTATGAAAAAAAGAGATTAAATGTATAATTAAATCTTTTCCATCGATAATACCCAACGAATTCTTATTGATTTCAAATATAACTGAGTTGATTTTCACAGCATCACATCTTTACTGCATGCATGAAGCAATGTTTATATACAATGTTACATTAGTTTCTTAAGACAAGAGGATTAGCGATGGATGTATCCCACATATCTTCCATGTCATCGGAATCCAAAAACATTATGAATTGAAAAAAAAAATGACGATAATACAAAAGCTTGCTGAACATGCTCCAAATCCATTTTCAGTCAAGGCAAGTTGGAAAGAGCGCAGTGTTAAAGTACTGACTTTCATTACTGCAGATATAATACTTCCATCAATTTTTTATTGCTGCTATGCATTATCAAGTCAGTTTTTGTTTTCTTTTTATCTAGGTTTGAGGTAGTACTCAGAAAAATGCTATAGCTTTCTTTACTTAAAGTATTATTGCAGTGAGTTTTGAAAATTTAATCACTCTGTACTTTGATAAGTCAGACAGAAACTTTAATAATTAAGGAACTAATTTATGTACTCAGAAATGTTTTATGTTATGAATACCTAATCATATTAAGTTTCGTATTTTATAATGATTGGAAAAATGCACATTTCAAAGTGGTATGGTCTACATCAACCAGTTTACAAAAGACTATTACAGGTGCTGTATATATAATATTTTTGGATAATTTTTGATGTTTTTTACTCTTATCTGTGTTTTTGGCTCACACTCACACATCACTACATGTTCACAACTATACATTATCACACTCATACGTCCACATTGTATGAATGTGAACGTATGATCCACATTCATACATATACATCCACACATCCACGCATTTACACTCATGCATCTACAATCATCAACAGCTATTGACATACATCTACATAAGAAGGCCTACGCATCAATACCCACAAATATATCAAAAAATGAATAAACACTCACAAACTTTCTAACCCATAAACACATATCGACATAGTTACGAGAAACACAATCAGCAACTCCAAATCTCATCTGATCTTTAACATGGTGATTTGCCAAGTGTTCACATGATTTTGCTGTGTTAATCGACACACATAATATGCAGAAAAAAGAATCCTTTTTTCTTGTCAGTGCGCATCATTTATTGCATATTCAAAGGACAAAATTAATTTTTGCATTTATAATTTTTTAGTAATGGAAAAGAACTGTCGGTATTTTGGTCCTAATAATTTCATTACTTAGTTTACCCCTTTTCAGCAATTTTATTTATCGATAGTTTTTCCCAAAGTAATTAAAAATTTGAAAATCCAATTCACTGATTTGTTCATATTTATTAACCACCACACTGAAGAATGCTTTTCATACATTTCAGAGTTAGAAGAAGCTTTCGTGAACACTTGTCGTTAACTCCAATTTCAGTACTTAGCTGCCAAGAATTCGATTAGGTTTTACTGCAATTTCAATTTCGATCAATTGAAACACTAGAAAAATATTTTATTCCAAAATGGTGGAAAATAGTAAGAAAGGTAAAAATACAATGCTCATGCACAGATGTACTGTTTGTTTGTTGCATGATTTTGGTAAGTTACAGTAATAAAAGACAATATAAAATGACCGAGAATGTTTATGAAAAATATTAATAACTGATATAAAACTGAAATTGACTGTGTCTTTTCAGTCTTCTACTTTAGTGTCTCTCATGAAATAAAGATAGAAACTACTTAAAATACTTGAAAATGCAAAAGTAGACTGGGGCTTAATTAGTGCCGGATGTGATAGTTTGCATTACATTTCATTGTAAACCAAAGCTCTTTTCAATTGCTTTTAACATTGGTATGAATAATAATTTATTATGTGCCATGAAACTTACATATAATTCCACTAATACGTAAATTAAAGTTCTAAACAACAACCATAAACTTCTTCAAATTAGAAATGTCTTGACTTTTCCAAATGACGGCTTTATAAGACTTCTCAAGTAAAATCCATATATTAACAACATAATTTAAAAACAACAAATGACACTTAATATAACTTTCATTCCTGATAATCCCTTAGAATTAAAAGAAAAATCAATATAATTGCGAAACAACTCTAAAGTTTTTGAAAAACAAAAAATTTTAGGCATATTAAAAGTCATACCGAACATCAAAGTAACTGGAATAATATCACATTGTGATCTATAGAAATGAAAATTGTAATGTTTATCAATCGTTTTTCTTTTTTTTTTTTTTGCAATAATAACAAAAAGATTCAACGTGCAAACGAAAAACTCCTAAAGTTTTCTATAAATTTTCAAATGGCACAGAAGTTGGCGAAGAAAATGGAAAAAAGTCATGAGACGAACAGAAAAAGTGATTTAAACAGTGCAGTCAAAAGAATCGATATGTGGATTGAGTTAGAATTCATGAGTCATAATCATGTTTGGAGTTGAATTCTAACTGCAAAACTTTAAATTTAATTTACCGAAATGAAATGTGTGCATCGAAGTACTGTTATAAATGTCCACTAAGCTAGCTGACAAAATCTGCCAATGCAGCAATTTTATTTGAAAACAATAATAAAATACATTGTAAAGAACGACAAATGAAAACTGGGAAAAATTGTAATTTTCTGTCAGTTCATCACTGAATCGCATGCTTTAATAAGCTGAAAAAATAGCGATTTGTGTGAAGCAAATAAATAGAACTTTAAGCATGAATGAAAAAATTCAACTTCGAGCAGAGATTCATTTAAAATCGTACGTAGGTTGAATGATCATTATGATATGAATGAAGAGGCAATAGAAAGAACACTTACCCGCATGGTGGCTGATATATTTGGTTACATTTCCATACTTGCATCTCATAGCGTGGCAAGAAAGTATTCTTTGATGAGGGATATCGTAGATTTATTTGTTTTAACTTACGATCTAACGCTAGGACAAAACGTTTCCGTATAGCTGCTTCGGAGTACAACGTTTTGCCTAAAATTATGCAAAATCATCTTGCAGTTATTTGAATGCGATATTCAGCAATTTAATTAACTATATTATTTGCATTCTTAACATTCAAATTTGAGACTACTTTGCTGTCATACAATAATTACCCATAGCAAGTACTGTATGAAAACTGAATCACTTTGACCAATTATAACTCATTTTCAAAATTGCCACACTTTTCCTCATCAAAACAATCATACTAAGTCATTTTTTGTGAGAACAATTCTTGAAGAAAAAGAGATTTGCTAAATTGATCTATTTCATTAAAGGTGCTCTGTGACTAAATTTGCAGTTATCACATTTTGGTTTTCAGACATTTCTACATTGTTGGCTAAAATGAATGACGAAAAGCCTAAATCTTTTGCCAATTTCTAGAGCACAAAATTTCTTTCTTTTCAAAAATAATATACTTTAATAATCCAGTAAAGAGTAAGGACGTTCTTCTGCAAGATAAAAAGTGTAGTTGAATCACAGTTACATGCTCAGAAACCAAAACTTTCAAAGCAAAAACTTAAAAATACGTTTTTGAATATGAATCAACAGCTCTAGTTATTAACTGAGATATTAAATGTATTAAATATAAGCTAATCTTTGTCACTTAATGATAAAAAAAATATATAGACTAACCTTTATCATTAAATGACAAAAGTTAACATATATTTTCTAAACAATTAATATCTCAACGCAGGAAGCAAAATGATTTTGTAACTTCCGTTAAGACAAACAATTTTCCTTTAAAATTCGGTGCAGCCTGAAAAAAAAGGCTTTTGCTTTATTTACAAAACATAAATGAATTTTAATCGACCTTCACGATGAAAACTAGCATAGGTATCTCGAAGCTTTTTCTTAACTGTTTCTAATAGACCTTGTACTTTTTGAACTCGACTCAGCAATCGCTGAAGTCTTTGTGATTGTTTCTTTTCACTCTTTAGCTCCTTTTCTAGCACCTAGAATACAATAAATATTATTTTTAGTGAAACAGAAATAATAAATAATTACACACTGTGTAATTCAATACTAATCACTATATATCAGAAAAATAAAGTTTTGCTGAAAAAAATATCTACTATCTGACGCATTGTGCACGTAAATGTTACAAATTGCAAAAAAATAAAATAAAATAAAATAAATCGGAAACAATGATTTTTTTTAATTCTTAAGAAACAAATGGATTTTTATTGTACACATCAAAATCACAAAATTTAGAGCTTATTATTTTATCACGAAAAGTAAAGTTAAGAGTAAAGAAGAATAAATAAGGATCTAAGACAAAATTTAAAGCATGATAATTTTTCTCATACTAGTAATAAAATTGGAATAATTAGTCAAAAATTTTTTTCTCAATAACTTGTAAACGACGCCGCAGAGTAGGTAAGCGGAGCCAATGTCGTAGTGCTGTCCATTTGTTGAAATCTTGCTGTATTCGATATTTCGCCCATCGTAAAGTAAGTAAATCAAGATTCTTCCGAAAATGTTCAAGCGATAGCGAAGTAGCATACTCATTCAGAAACTGTAAGTGAATAAAATATTTACTACTGTCCAGCAATCAAAATGAAATTGACGTGGTCTTCAGAATATACTTTTTCAGTATCCTGTTTAAGTGCAAAACCATTAATAGCAGTGTGCTGCCACATTTCCGGTTGCATTCTTTCTAATGTATCTTCCAATTCCTTTACAAGTATTGCTTCACACTGAAATTTATAGCTTATTAAATGCAATAAGTTTTGCAGAATTGTTCACTCATTACATAACTATTCTTTATTTTATCGCAAGTGAGCAACGCTATTTTTGAGTTTTTTTTCAGATATAAAGTAAATGTTTAAGTTATAGTCAGAAATCATAATAAAGCTACAATGTTTCAAATTTCCACCTTGTCATCATCCTCAACTAATTTAATTACATCATTATCGCCTGTTGATTTTTGCCTGTTGTTGCTCCGTAACTTCAATTCGGCTGCACAAATATAACACGGCTAGAAGTTCAAGCTTAGCAACTAAGCGCCCATTTTCAAATGTTTCAGCCAAATTATTTTGAATAATTAATACTTTATTATGAAATAATTTAAATTGAAAAATGAGAATTAATTAATTAAATGCAAAATTAAATTACTACAATGAATTAGAATGGTATTACATCTATTGAAGAACAGCTATATTTTGATAAAAGAATATTTTATGTATCTTAAGTTAAAAATTCAAGCAAAAGCTGGTAGCAAATGCCCAGTTCACATTTTTCAGGCTAATTCTACAACAAAATATTTGGAAAAATTCTCTCAAATTGAGGATGAGAAATATTGCATGAATAATGCACATAATCAAATATCACAAATTTAAATTCCATTCACTGCTTATTTCAAAAAGTTATTTCATCTGGACAAAAATTGCAGTGAAAAATGTAATGGAAATTAGCAGTGCATAATAAACTCTCATCAAAAATTATTTACTATTTCATACATCACACTAAACCATTTATTCAGTTTGGCAGTGTCTTGCGGTAATTTTTATTCTTTTCAAATTTTAAACTGCATACAGAATGGCAATTTTTTTCGCCTGGTTTTATGTTTGGGAATTTCATAGTTTTGCATGAAATGATTGCTAACAGTCTTTGCAATGACTTACATCAATAACAAAGACTGCTCACAAAATTTGAGAAAAATAATCTTACCGTCCCATGCGTGTGAAATTCATATTTTTCATTTGATAAAACAGCAAGGATATCCTGGGAATAGAGTAGAAATACCAGCAACAACAACAAATATGACCATGCAGCGAACTCCATTACTTTCAAAAATCTCTTGTCAAAAACCTCTTTTTGATAACCAGACATTCCTTACCAAAAAATAGCGCAAATTACGACAAGCAATAACAGTGAGAAAACCAAAGTCTACAAAACTTTACTTTTTTTCTTTCCATCCAAATATTTCAGTTCAATTTTGATTTTGATAATAGAGGGGATAATTTCTACCCAGTTATTTACAAGTACTGCTACTTTCCTACACAATGCATACTGAAGACTGACGAAGAGTAAGCCAGAGTCTATACGACATTCATATCATGCTGCTAGTTACTTAATTCAAACCTTCAACTTCGTTAAAATTCCCTTCTGCTTACTCCGACCAACGTTTTAATTTTGTGACACAAAGCATAGGTAAATGAGAAAATATTTTAGTGAATAGAGTACACCGACTTTCTTAATTGAAATTCATAAACCCAAACATTAAAAAACTAGTACGCCATGTGAATTTCGTACGAGAATATAAAGGTTACGAGACTATGTTGTTAATAAAAGAATGGATTGGTAAACAAAGCCGAAAAAAAGATGAAGAATTTACAAACTCTGTTAGCTAAAGAGCACCCTCTCCCTTTCTATTTCATCTTTTCTTCAGAACGTTCGGAACTTGAACTTGGTTGTAAAAACACCCGTATGCCAGAATAAAAAACAGAACAGCTGCATATCAATACATAGATGTTTTGAATAAAAACTAGTCCATCCAGACAACTTTAAACACTTACCAGCTTTTCCGCAGCAGCCGAACTAATTCGTAGTGACTGCAAATGAGTGAGCATAATATTAACCCAATATTTTTCTCGACGATAATTTTCCTTACTAATATAACAGTGTAAAATTTGAAAGTGTTTACAAGAAAAATAGTTTTATTAATTGACCCTTTCATAAAGTTAATTTGTCTGCACGAAACTGCAATGAAAATAAATCAAGCAACTGAAAACCGAACAAATAACAAAATGATTTTACTATTAACTTGCAAATGAATTTTTTAACTGTTAAAGAAAAATACAGTTAAATCGTACATAAAACAATGTGGAATGAAAGTACTAATCAAATTTAACGAAAACTTCAGTTACATTATGCAAAGAACTAGTTTAAACAAAAGACACAAGTGACACTTCCTCAGTGGCATTTCACACCCATTTGTTCAAACCTATTTTTATCAGAGGTAAGTCAAAACATTTATTTGGCAACCGTTTCAGGCAGGAGTATTTTTATGCTTTCGGGGATAGAGTCCAAAAATTCCTGAAAGCATATTACAGTGAAATAGAATGATGACTAAAATGTGATATGGAAACTAGAATAGAGCGTAACTCACCTGATGATTGACCCAATGTGCAGTGGCTAACACGCCTCCACTATTCGATATTTGTGCATCCGCGCCATAATATAAATCATGCCCGGATATATCCGTAAGTTTGCCACCAAAAAACATAGAACACAAATTTTATACACATAATTACTCAACTTCAAAAGAAAAAATAGCTAACTTACATCTAAATAATTTCTAACAAAAAAAAATGCACCTGACGCAGTAATTACTGCTTCCGGAGCACAGGTATCCCATTTTTTACAACCAGCACTAGCAAAAATGTAAGCAGCAGCTCCTTCCAAGCATTTCAAAACCTGATAAAATATTCATATATTTGCTAAAAAAAGAAAAAAACATTTCCTGACAAGCAAGGTAAAAGCTCATATATGGATAAAAGTGAAATCATTAAAATTCACTGCTAAAAACTTCAGAAATAGGATAAATCCTAAATTAGTTTTCCAATTCATCATAAATTTTTTAATTGTAAGCATTTTGACGCTGAACAAAAAAAAAAGATTGTCAGTATAAAAAAAAGGAGAATTTGCCAGAATCAAGCAAAATCCATTATTTTTCATAGGATATTTTATATATTGGTCATAATACCTTACCTTGAAGCCAACTCCACCAAATAATTTGATATCCGTTATTAAATTCTTTTCTTTTAAAACACTCAATGTATCGCGCACTTGAGGAGTAGAATGACTTCGACTTGTGACAACATACCGCTCATGGTTATCTAAAACACTCAACTTCAGAATGAAGAGAGGAGATTGTTAAAAAATACATTTTCCCATGAGATAATAGATGAAGACCCGGAAAATGAATTTAAAAAAATATCATCCTAAATTATTTCATCCAAATAAGATGCTCCAGAGTAAACGAGTAATACAAGTTTAAAATATATTATGACGCTAATAGAACTATGTAAAGTTATACTTTTGGCAATTTCAATGCCATGAACCTTCATTCCTTCGATGGCCCAAATTGTGCGACCTGTTGCATCAGCACCCCAAAACGGTTGATGTATAACACCAGCGATGGGGCGCCCTTGATATGATACACCAATGAGGACAGTAACCTCCTGCTGGCGGGCTGAAAAATAGTTACAAATGAGTTGTAAAACAGTGACTACAGAGTTTATGAGCCAAATCATGAGTATATTGTTGGGACGATAAGTCGGTGCAATAATTTTTTTTCCTCAAATCAAAATGGTTTTATTTTGTTTTTGATTTCTCTGAATAAAGAAAAGTCTAAAGAAATGATCTAATTTCCATAAATATAACTACATTAATAGAAAATAGAAGTTAAATTATTAGGCAAAAAAATCAATTCCTGCATCATCCTCGAAAAAAATATTTCTTAACCTCAAATAAACTTACATACGCTGCCTTCTGCAGCAACCAATTCGTACGTTCCATCCAACGGATCAACCCACACTACAACCTGAGAAATAATAAAATCATTACAAGTTTGTAAACTTGAATGCAAGTAATTTGAAAAACTTTTGAGTTCAGTGAAAATGACTTCAAGTCACTAATTTTACAACTCCTAAATAGCAGTTAGAATGGAAACAAGCCTAAATATAAAATTACACACGTCATCAGATGTTATCAGACGCATTGCTGCACTGCATTCGTTATCGAATTCCAGTACATCCACATCAAAATCATCTACTACTGTTTTCTCAGCCAACGTTTTGCTCTATAAAGCAACTAACATTCTCGACAGCATCATGTACGGAAACTTATTATAAAATATCATTTTTGAATCCTGCCTTCGTCTTTCAGTTATGTTTGAAATAATCCTACAGTAGTCAAAAAACTTAAACAACTTACATAAACAAAACCTTTTTTTAATATTTCGATTACACCTTTCTACACAAATGAACCACAAACTCCAATGCTATAAGCCATTTCCAATGATATAATCAACAATTTTAATACAGAAATATGAAATTAATAAAAATGAAGTTAATTTTTAAAACTATGAAGGAAAAGACTGGATCAATAGCTTGATACAAAAAGGAATGTTATATGAAACGGAGTTATAATGACTTCATTCCTCACTTCTTCTCCTATGATTTTAAGACTATTTCCAAAACGTTTGTATAACGACGAAATAATACAATCTTGTGCAGCAATATCAGCATCCGTATACAAATCTTGTAAACTGACAGGTCCCTTATAATATGATTTGCCAGTACCAGAGAGAGCCCACTGCTATAAATGACAATTATGATGCTTTTATAAAACAATAAATAATATTTGTAGCATAACACTTGACTTTCATTGCCGGTTACAAAAAGTTGCAGGAGCCTGTCCTCAAATACATTCAAAACTTCGTATTATTACGCAAACATGGCAATACTTTGCTATCTCCCTCACAGAATTCATCTTTAACTTGGTAGTAATTCATAAAAAATTAAGTTTGCATGCAAAACTATGTCTCCATACTTGGATATTATTAAGATGCTAAATAACAGTCTAATCACAGTCATCTCCGCAAACTTTAATATTCCTAATAAACAGCCAAAAACATCCAGCATATGTTCTTTACCACAGCGTGATGCTGATAACCCACATTTAAGACAAGTATTTTTCCCTTAAATAATGAGTGACTAATTTCTTTTATTTTTTTAAACACTTAAAAATATAGTTCAACTAACCTTGATAATCTTACCAGCTTGTTTCGCAATGCTTACAGATACAGCCATAAGCTGAGATACAAAACACGCACGTTCAAACATTTCTTCCCGAACTTGAGATATACTATCATGATCAATCATTCTTAGAAGCGCAAGTTACTCGCTGCGAATTACTGCAAAATAATTATACTATTCAAGTGACTGCAACGATTACAAAGGCTAGCACAGCACACAACAGCTTGGTGTTAAGCCATCCCAATAATTTAGACATAATCAGTGATCGTGCACTCCCTTACATACGCTCATCATTAGTGATTTTCATAACCAATCAGATATATTGTAAAATCGCAAATAATACATAGACTTCCCTACTTATTACTCAACTTTACACCCCAGCAATTAATCCCGACACCATTACTTCATTCACACCTAATTCCCCCTTTCAATCAGATGTACTAACGCCCATCTTTACCTCAAGTACCAAAATTAACGGTTCAGTAATGATGTGAAATTCTAAATCTCTTTCGCACACGTAGCCAGTATACCTCGTTATGCCCTACCAATGCATTTCACAATAAATTCACTATCATGCAGATTTTCCCTCCGACGTTCATTTTCTTTCTCACTTCATAAAATGCCAATATTGGATGGTCACAGAAATCATACAGTTAAAAAATTAGTAACTCAGAAAAAAACAAAAAATTTTTATTGTATTTCAGCATCACCGAGCACAAAATATGAACTAAAAGCTGATGACAAATCATAAATCGCATACTATACAAAATGTAAAGATAAAGAAACTTGCTGCACATAGTAATGAAACAAATATTGCAGTCAGTAAAGTTAGAATACAAAGAGCTGCTTTCTATTCACAGACTTCATCGTGTTGCTTATAGCTTTCTGCCAATCATCAAGATTTAATTTGTCAAAATTTGGCGGTCTAAACTTCCCAGTTTGTATGAAATCTGTCAGCTCGCTAAACATCTTTTCTCTTTCCTGCAAAACGATGTTGTCAAACACTTGTTTCAGTGCAACATTTTTGAAATAATTTTTTGGGCAGATTTGCTTTCTTTAGTTGAAATCAACTGAACAATAAAGTGGATGCGTCTACTTTGAATACTAGTACAGTACATCTGTTATTAGATTAGGAGAATGATATATGATAATTCTTTTGAACTCCAAAAAACTTCACTTTTTCATTTTCATGCTGTTTATACCATTGTGAAATCCAAAAACCACGGAGTTGTATATTTTTAAAAATAAATGGACCAGTCGGAGCCTAAAAATAGTGTAGTGATATAACTCTAGTAGCAGCTGTGGTCGGAAAACAATATGACACAATCCATTTCTTTTTTTTTTTTTTCAAAACTATTTATACTTTTCACGATATTTTTTGCAGAACGAACTTGCATTTTTTTCACAATCGGCATAGTATCAGTAAAACAAAATCTTTTATTCTCCACATTTACAAGCTTTCTTCTAACATAACGCGCAATTGTAGCAGCAAAACATTGAAATTTGATTTTGTTTTACTGATACTGACATACTATTAAAAGTGATAAATTAATGGATATGAGTAGGAAGCAGTTACCTGTATTAGCTGCTTACTCATGCCTCCGTAGGTAACCATTACGCCTTCTATTCCAAGACAACTAATCAAAAGCAAAGCACTACGACCTCCAACACAATTCAAAGCCAGACGAGCATTAATCTCAAAACAATACCAAAATAAATACTTTTTAATGCGAGACAAACTTTGTCATTATTAAAATCTTCGCACATCATAAGAACAATGAAGAGATGAATTAAATTGAACTAACTAGTTTTATTTTAATTCTTCACCCTATTTCATCAAGACAAAATAAGATGCAATACTTTACACAAATGCTTCAAATGATATATTTGTTTATGAAGTGGCATAATTAATTAGAAACCAATAGCGTTCCTTTTACTCTACTACTTAATGAAGTCTATCATATAGGCTCCAAATACATATTCAAACGCAAATGATATCGAAAGTGAATTAATAAAAATTGAATGCAGCTGCAGATATCATAAAATAATGAAGCCAAACGTTTTTTTTTTCGTTCTGCAGTTCTCGTTCTCCAATGACTTTATCAGCACCGAACGATCTTAATTCATCTGCAACCTCTGAGAAGTCCGGTCTCTCACGAATGATATTGACTGTCCGAAAGCCCCAAATCTTTGCTAGCTAAAATTCTTCTCATTGAAAACGAAGCAATTGAAAAACATCAAATTTTTCATCTCCAACGAATCTGTGAACACAATTAAAATAAGTTATATTGTAAAGTTTACTTACAAAAACGATGATATTATTCTAAAATAGGAATACGCGATAGTAAAAACCTGACCTGAATGACTGCTCTGCCCACGGCCGAATTGCTACCATTTTGGATAATAAGATCACCAGGCTTAAGATTAATAAAATCCTTCAACATGCGATATGCAGTAGGTGGGTTTACCTATAAAAAGGATATTATCAGTTTAAAATAAATTAATTAGCTAATTAGCCAATTACGGACAACTGCAACATTTCCATGAAAAATTTTGATAAATGCTGTAAACTGAAATAAAATGGATGCTAAATTTTCGCGAATCCCAGAGCAATATAAGTACCTCCAAAATCCCAATCCGCATTTTTTGATTAATTTACGATTAGATAATAAAAATATCAGTTACTTGAAATGTGGCCGCAGCTTCTACGGGCAAAGAACGATCAATCTTAACCAAATCTTTCTCATCAATATTAGCATAAGTTTGCCATGTACCTAAACCAGAATTTGAAGCAATTACTCGATCACCACAACGTACTCTACTGACATCGTCACCCGTCTAAAATAAATGAACAGAATATTAAGGTTGAACTTTATATAATATGAATGCACAATTTCGTAACCATTTGATTATGGAACCATTATTTTAACGCTTCTGCAGAGAATGTAAAACAAATATATGCTATTTCAATGATAGAATTGAGAATAATTAAAAGGATTTTGATACGCTGTTATAGATAATCTGCATAGTTCAGTTCAACTATGCATGTTATGAAGGTAGAAACATTCACAATTAGAGAACTGTAAAGAAAATTCCACATAAAGAAAGACTTATTTTCTCTTTATGAAATATTTACTGAGACGTTTAAAAGTTCACGAAGAAAACAAATTTTACTTAAATCAATTAACCTCTTCAACTTCTCCAACCATTTCATTACCACCAACAGCAGGAAGTTGCGGTTTGATTGGATAAACTCCCTGAATTTGATTGATATCCGCTGGATTCACTGGAGAAGCAAGATAACGAATACGAACTCGTCCAGGACCTGGTTTTGAATCGATTTCAACTGTCCGCAAATGCAAGACCTGTCCGGAAATTCTAGGCTCTTTAGTCAATAACAACACATGAAAGTAACATTAAAGTAACGAAAAGTTTTCCTTAATTTCAATATTCTCAATTATATGAAAACATACATTTTCTGGATCACCATTCGTATCATAGACTAATTGTTTTGAAGTCAGAGATCGATAGGAACTGCTTAAGTGAGATACAGTCCAAATCCTTCGCAATGAGTACATCTAAAATATATGAAGCAATGTATATAATTGAATTCAGAAATCATTCCCATCACGCTGCATCACGACATTAAGGGTACCAACAATAATCATATACATTCATTATATACATAAGACCATTACGATGCTCTTTCTCTTGACATAGGACATCCCCAAATACTAAATTCCTAAAAATCACATTCCTGAAAGTACATACATCTCCGAACTTAGAAAAGTTAAATTAAATAGCTTCGCAAACTACACTCAACTGGTGGAAACAAACACACACATGCACATAAATGTGGCGACTACTTCAACATGAGTAGTTTCAACTAAATTCCGATAATAATTGTAGTTGGGAAACAAGTTATACAATCTTTATTCAAACACAAGACTCCGACAATATAATGATGCAAGTAATCCAAAAAAATACCAAGTCCAATAACCACTCGCCAGCATATTCGACAATGGCAACAACTATTACAATGAAAAGTAAAATCAACAGCTTCTCACGGCAAATCATCGTAAATTCATTACATCAGGAAAAGCAAACACATAAAAAAGTGCATTCTACAACTTCTCAAATGTAGTACAACCAAAACCTGAATTAATGAAATACTATATCAGTTAAAAAATCATACTTCAGAAAGTACAGAGAACGGCCGCCTCATTACTTATCACTAGATGAAACCTGATATCAGAAAATTTGAATCTTTATAAAAGTTTGAAATCTTTATTTAATGAAAATACTTTCAAAACAATGGATGTCATATTACAATAACAAATGATATCTGTTAGTGAATTTTTAAATTTATGAATAAATTAATTGAGAAAGGAAGCTACAAAGATGTCACCTATTAATGGTGAAAGTTTTATTTTCCTCATGGACTTTTATTTTTCATCATAGATTCTCGCACCATTTATAAAATTGAATGTATGGAATGTCCACTAGAAAACTGACAACTGATGAAATTTTAGATCTGCAGCAACATTGAATTTAGCGAATTTCCGATCTTATTTCGAAAATAAGGACAATAAGAAGAGATACGGTTATAAATCATATTAATCCGATGAAAATATCATAAACTAAAATCAGTCTGAATAAGATGAAAAGGACGATCTAGAATGCTTCCGAGATCTCTTTTTCTGCGGGGAGTCTCCATCACTGTTCCCACTGCTTTGCTTTGATTCGTTCTCATCTCTAAAATACATTAATAACTATTCTACTATACCATTAGATCCTCTCACTGAAACGTTATTATGAGCTAAACATTTTAAATAAAGGAATTACATATGGAGAGATTGATACAACACAATTTTTAAATCAGAGACGATTAAGAGCTTAGGGATGAATTTACAATTAAAATCTAAAATCAAAAAAATCACTTCTTGTCAGTTTCTGCGAATTCAGCACCACTAGATGAATGCTCCACCTTTCTTGACCCATTATTTCGAGCTAAAACTTTTTCCATTAACCTTTCTCTCATGGCTGTTTCGTCTGATGCTATGGGCTGATCTGATAAATCAACATCCATACTTTCACCCTACAAATAAGAGACATTTTCGAGGACTTTCATACTTATAGAATGAGATTGGAAAATTCTAATATTTTTGAGCAAAAACAGCTGGCCCCATATTAGCTCATCATCGTAGAATTTCTACATCAAGAATGATGAACAACGGCACATATAATGAAGTTCTGTCATAATGTTCTCACAGCCGTATTTCTCTATAGTTTCAAGAGCACATGTAGCGTAAAATTAGAAAGTCCAGAAAGCAAGACTAACATGTTCTATTTGCAGCTTCACTTCAGATTTAATCGAACTTTTGTTACCGCTTCTCCTGCTGCTTTTTTCCCTATCCTTATCCTTACGAGAACTTTTCCTTCCTCGATCATGATCTTTCTCATCCCTTTTATCATTTTTTTCATTTCGACTCTTTTCTCGATCTTTTCGACCACTACTTTCTCGCTCCTTATCTTTCTTTTTGTCCTAAAATATGGCAAAATTGACCAACTTTTCCGTAAGTCGTTCATTGAGTTAAAACAAAAATAGGGTAAGAAATCTTTTGAATTTAGTTTAAAGAAAAACACTAAGAAAGACGACTCAAATAAAGTGAACCTTGTCTTTATCACGTTCACGTTTGTCATCCTTCTTATGCGGTGTACGACTTTTACTTCGTTTCCGTTCTTTCTTCTCCTTTTCCTTATCTTTATCACGCCGTTCCTGAAAATTTCCTTTATAATAATGTTCGTGATAACACAAACTCTTGAAAATCTATAAAATTAACCAGCATACCTTGTCTTTATCTTTATCCTTTTTGTCTTTAGAACGAGAACGCCTACGATGACGGGAACGAGAACTTGAATGCCTACGGCGCTCACTAAAAATTACTACATTATTCATAGAGCAATTCTAGATTTCAGATACTCACCAAAAGTGTTTTTATCTGGTTTTTTATGGAAATAAACCTGACAACTAAGGAATAAGACGCAAGGAAGTAAATTAATAACTGAAAAAAAATCCTTCAACAATTATGAAAATACCGCGATTTAGAGCTCGAGCGTCGATCTTTGGATTTACTGCGGTGCCGACGACGTGACCTATGTAAATATTTAATTAGGAAGTAAATAATGATAGCTAGAAGTGCTGACAACTACAAAAAATATTTTACGAGCGTTATTACTTTGACAGAGATCGAGAACGTCGACGTCGACTTGAGCTACGGCTCCTATGACGTCGAGGCGATCCAGAACGTCGTAATGGTGAATAACTCCGATCCATTCCTGGAATGACCTATTAATTAAAACTACACATCAAATGACTCCAAATATCAATAATTATAGTCTATGATTATATGAGCCAAGTTTAAGGTAAATATGGAGGAAAAATTGTGCCTGATCATAGATGAAACACTATTTTCTCGTAATTTCTAGTTTCTATTCTTTTTTTCGCTCTACTTTTGTCAGTTAAGGCAATGCCATGATGCGACGATGGAAGTGAAAAGCGGAAATACAATCCGATCAGTTGCGACAACGCACGTAGTAGCATCGGCAGCCAACGATGCCAGAATGGTGGAAATGGTAGTAATATGAAAGAATATTTCAGCATTCAATGAGATCAGCTATAGCTCGAAACCAAAAAGAGGAATGCGTGTAGTCTTATAGTCAGGATATGATGAGAAATCCGAGAAAAAATAGAAGATAAATAGAGAAAAACCGTATCTGGAATCATAGTAGAAAACAATCGGAAAGCAAATGAAGTTGTGAAAGGCTCCGTGAAAGATGTAAGAGAGCACTTTGCTAGCTTACCGGAATCAGGAAGCAGTAGGACGATTACGCTTGAAGTTGTCATTCGAGGAATCGAGGTTTTGCAAAGCAGGGAGGATGCCGAGAAAGGGATGGCCTTTGTGAAGTTTCCTGCATTGCGAGAAGTTTGTA